CGTTTCTTCGGCGGATTGGCGCGATTGCGTCTCGATTAATGGACGAGCCTCGCGAAACGGAGTGGCTCTTGCAGCGTGTCTCACTGGCGATGGTTCGAGGTAATGCTTTCTCCAACATTGCGGATGGCAGAGGATAGAAAAAATTGTTTATTGTTACGTTGTTCTGGAATTGTCATCAGTGGTCAACTGTACTTATTTATTTACTCAAATAAAGTGGCATAATCTATGCGACACCTACGATTAATATCTGTATCAAGGAAAAATAGCTACGATCTGTTTTTGTTTTTTTTTTCATGATGGGCGGCGGAAATAGCCGACTAGTGATCGGCGCCGTCCGTCGGTAACCCGAGATAAAACAAGGTGTTGTTATGATTTTTCAGCTGATAAGAAAAACAAAGACAGTTGCTGAGTTGGCTTTTGCGCCTTCAACGTGAAAAATTGTTCACGATATGATTTAAAATTGTTAAACGAAACAAATAATAAAAAAAAAATACCTGGGAAATGTTTTAACAGAAACAAAAGCCCTGAGGTAAAAAAAAAAGAAAAGAGCACTGGACTCCTACGTAATATTATCCTCCTATGGTGAAAGATGAAGAAGAGACTTTTAAACAGAGGGATACTGAGCTTAAAATTCGCCCGAAATTTTAAAGAAAATGGAAACCAAAAGGAAACATACTTAACATTAGGAAGAGAGAGTTGAAATTTCTAGGGCAACGACGCTACAAGAGGGAAACAAAACGATACATGGTGAGCTTGACTTTAGGAGAGATAACTTTATTAAGCGTTACAAAGTACGTAATATTACACGGCCCCAAAGAAGAAGAAAAATCCTCCTTTGATGTGGCCAGTCTGTTAATAAGATATATATAATATATCTATATTTCAGTTTATCTCATGTTATTATAAATTAGTTGCAGTGCGGCATATGGAAAATGAATACATGAATAAAAAACCGAGTTGAAATTAAGATATACAACAGAAAGACCACTCGCACCGAATAAAGCATAAGACATTTTTAACATCGGAGTCTCCCGAGTATATGGGAACAACGTTCGAAATTAGTCCAATTAATATATTTTCAATATTTTCTAAAACGATACAGTAAAAAAAATAAATAAATAAAAGTAATGTACCCACTAAATATAACATACTTAGTAATACGAAATAATATCGGATTTTAAAAAAACATTAATTATTGATATATACGAGTAATCGAATTTTGGCAAATCATTATAGTAATTCATCGAATTTAGAAGAATGCCGCAGTTTCTGTCCTATTTTGAGAGTCATCAGCAGTGCGCATCTAACCGGATTCTTTCGACATATAAATTATCATTTGAAGAAACTGATAGATCGATAGCGCCACTACTAATATCCAAATATTCCCCAACGGATTGTGTTCCAAGTTTCTTTCCTTTCCCCGAACTGCTTCATCGCAGAGCATTAGCTGGGTAAAGCAAAGATATACAAGTAGTAGAATTTGGGGGGTTTAGACAAATCATTATAGTAATTCATCGAGTCTAGAAAAAGCACGGCCATTTCGTCCCATCTGGTACTCATCAGCAGTGCATGGTTTTAGGGACAATCCGTTGAATTATGAATACTTCAATGAGTATCACCACGGAATTTGTAAGTAGCGACGCTATATCGAGTCTATTCAGTTTTTTCTTCGTCAGAATAAGAATGACGCTTGTATTCGAAACATTCCGAGTTCGAATATAAAAACTGTTGATAAATCCCAAAATAAGACGAAACGGCCGGATTACGTATCCCTGGAGTATAATATGACTTGAGTAGTATACGATACCGCGTGTCTGAAACTAGTCTAATACGCCTCCGAGTTTCTGAAGGTAAAACAGGAAATAAATTATATGCATTAATATAATACAAAGCCGTATTTCTGAAGGTAGAAACAGGGATAAAATTACATATTTGAGTGTAATAAGAGCCTGTCTTACTGAAGTTAAAAACAGGGAAGGAATTACGGCGTTGAGTATAATAAGACCTCGTATCATTTAAACTAAAAACGGGGAATAAATTACATCCTTTAATAGAATAAGAAACCGTATTTCGGAAGCTAAAAACAGGGAATAAAAAATACGACCCCACATTTTTGAAGGTAAAAAAGGAAAAAATTAAATCCTTGAGTATAACACGACCCGGAAAAATTACATCCTTGTTTGTACGAAGCTTAAAAACGGAATAAATTACATCCTTGAGTATTATACGATTCCGAGATTCTGAAAAACAAAAACAGGGCAATAAATTCCGACATAAAACAGTGAATAAATTTCATTGAGCATTATACGATTCCGAGATTCTGAAGCTAAAAACAGTGAATAAATTACATACCTGAGCATTATACGATTCCGAGATTCTGAAGCTAAAAACAGTGAATAAATTTCATACTTGAGCATTATACGATTCCGAGATTCTGAAGCTAAAAACGGAAAAATTAGTGAATAAATTTCATACTTGAGCATTATAAAAACGATTCCGAGATTCTGATTCCGAGATTCTGAGCTAAAAACACGGAATAAATTACATCCTTGAGTATTATACGATTCCGAGATTCTGAAGCTAAAAACGGAATAAATTACATCCTTGAGTATTATACGATTCCGAGATTCTGAAGTTAAAAACAGGGAATAAATTACATCCTTGAGTATTATACGATTCCGAGATTCTGAAGCTAAAAACAGGGAATAAATTACATCCTTGAGTATTATACGAATCCGAGATTCTGAAGCTAAAAACAGTGAATAAAGTACATACTTGAGCATTATACGATTCCGAGATTCTGAAGCTAAAAACACGGAATAAATTCCATCCTTGCGTATTATACGATTCCGAGATTCTGAAGCTAAAAACAGTGAATAAATTACATCCTTGAGCATTATACGATTCCGAGATTCTGAAGCTAAAAACAGTGAATAAATTACATCCTTGAGTATTATACGATTCCGAGATTCTGAAGCTAAAAACAGGGAATAATTTTCTCCATATTACCCTCGAAACCTCAATTTCATATCCACATAAATTATCGTAATATTTTATTATTTTTCATAATTTATACAATAGTTAGGCCTTTGTTGTAACATTAATGTTAACAAAATATGACAGAACTTTTGTATTCCCTTTATTCATTTGTTTAATCAGTTTTTGTGAATTTCCTGTCTGTAAGACAAAAGATGTTCAATTACGTTGATTCCCGAAGAACAGATATGGCCGACATATCAAATACTTTTTGAAAACAGTTCTTATAAACACCTGCGTACTTTATATTTTATCTATTTGCTGAGTGTATTTGCAAACTTGTTGTTTCGCATAAGATATTTTTAAGCTAAGGAAATATTGCTGAAAACGTGTATCCGAGTATAATACGACCCCAAATTTTTACCTATATTTTCCGTTCAAAATTTCGCGTATTATACAAAAGAAAATACGGTATATACAGCCAACTGCATGACGGTTCTCGGAAAGTCGGAAAACCCCTGTTGATGTACACGGAGATAAACAAAACCTAACTTCTACTGATATCTCTCCGTTGTCCGTTGTGGAAATGGCTTCTGATTGCGTCAAGTGGAGGCTTATGTGCATGAAAAGCAATACAAATTTTATGATGCACGGAGCCACTTCATATTCCAGGCTTCACAAGGGGCGCGGTTCGTTGTTCTGTGTGTGGGTCTCAGGTTGGAATAAAAATTCATCGAAGCCGCAAACACTAGTTTCACATAAAAAAGGTAGAATATGTTGCTAAACACCCATAGTTCGTAAAAAGGAAGGGCCCTTGATACATATATATATATATATATATATATATATATATATATATAATAATTGGTAATCGCTTGGAAAAACCTTGGATAATTCGATTGTAGTAGAATAAATCGGTACCTAAGGAACATTAAACTAAGGCGAAAACAATCGTCCAGAGTTCAAGCTCAAAGTCCAAAGAAAAATAAACTCCAAAAACGAGCAAGAGGCAAGTACGTAAAGTGCTCAATACTCGAAGTAGAGCAAAATAAGATAATCCTAATGAGTCAGGCAAACCTAACTAGGTTTCACCTAAACGGATTGTCAGGGCGATGTCCTCTTACAAAATGTCCTCCTTCTGTTAAAAATGCCCTCCTTTTTCGAAACACTTTTAATTCTGTGCCTGCATGATTCATTAACACGAAAAGACTCAGATAGATAGATAGATAGATAGATAGATAGATAGATAGATAATGAAGAGACTGAGATAGATAGATAGATAGATAGATAGATAGATAGATAGATAGATAGATACGAAGAGGCTAGGCAAGATAGATAGATAGATAGATAGATAGATAGATAGATAGATAGATAGATAACAGTTACTGCATATGCAATAACCTTTAGGATTATACGATAGATCTTCCCATCATAAGGCACAATTGGCCTGCATATATAAATAGTTGAGCCAAAACACAACAGAACCTGAATATTGCCTTCGAGCAATGAAACATACAGGCGCTGCATGGTGTCAACCTCAGTATCCACCATAAGTAATACTTCTAAGGCACCCTATTTTATAAACGGTTTTCTCCCTTAAACGCCAATGTGGCGCTGTGGCTATTAAAATTAATTGAATTACATTTCCTTTGTTTCTTTTTTCTTTATTCATTGTTATAAAAGCTATCTTTAAAATTCTACCGGCGTCTCACTCAACAGTACATAATTTTTTTTTTTTTTTTATCTGAAGAAATAATATCTCAAATATTTCGGAGCAATATATATTTTTTCTATATTGATAACCACTGGTTGTCTGTTCCAATACCCGCAAGATGGCGCGCTGCAGTCTCCTTGTCTTGGTAAATAAGATAAATTGGCGTCAAAATTACCCACCTTAGTAGACATCACATACGTGGAGGTACTCGCAAACGAATTAAAGAACTGCTCCCCACCCACTTTCACGTGCCTACAACTATTTCTGCATCAGTAAACCTTCCTATTTGTATATGCCAGTGTACACCTATATGCCCAGACAATGCAATCTATCATTTGATAAATTTATATATAATCCACTGCTTCTTCGGAATCTGTCATGCTTCCTCTAGATGCATCTCTCTCTATTTCTCTTTATCTATCTCTCTATCTCTCTCTATTTCTCTCTTTAACACACACACACACACACACACAAATATCGACAAATATACTCATACATACGTGTTGTGGATTTAATATATTATATACAGAATGTAATGGATAAATCGTCGCCATTTTTAATTTCGCGCATGCGTTTTGTCGACTGCACAGTATAGTAAGATCAGTTGGGCACCGTCGTCTGTGAAAAAAGGAACACCATAACGCAATTCATTCCGCCAGAAATGTAGAAACGGCATACTGTATTGCTTGGCATTCGCACCGGAAGCCGCAATACGAATATTTCAAAACGTTTTTTTGTCAGTCTTAATTGAAAGGATTCGAAAGAGTTGATTTCCTCATGGTGATTACGAAAATACGGTAGCTCACCAGACTTATTCTGATCGTTCTGACAAGAAAATAACACCCGAATTTCTTTGTGAGGGCCTAAGACTCAACATAGAGGCCTCACACATCAAAAGTGTCCTGACATCAAATTTTTTTTTTTTATAAAATATCTGAAATACTAATATCAATAAAATCAAATTGATTTCGGAGCAGGATTCGGAATCTATATTTTCTTCGTTTGGTTTTGTATTTTAACCATTTGGTTTTTGTTTCAATACCCCAAGCAAGGCGAGAAGCCACTAGCAAGGGGTCAGAAAATTTAGTCTTGGTGAAAGAAAGGATGAGGGTAGTGGATAATTGGAGATGTCGATTGAATTACCCTTGAATACATGAGTAGACATGCTGAAATTGGTAGATAGATATGGAATATATATCAAAACGAATTTTGACAACTGGTAAATAGGTGCTGGGTTCTGTGAAATTATGGGTCGTAGAGGATAACTATTTTTGCATCAACCTATGCCTTCCCATTTGTTATATGTTTGTTGACAAATCTTTTCGTATATATAACATTCTCTTCGTATAACTCCAACATGACAATGCAAAGTATCATTTATATATATATATATATATATATATATATACTTTCTTTTTTCACTTTTATTTCGGAATCTGTCATGCTTCCATTCTATGCAAATGCATCTCTTATCTCTTTATCTTTATCTATCTCTATCTCTCTAGTCTATTTCTCTCTATCTATCTATCTATCTATCACACACACTTCTATCTTTTACAAATATCTATCTATCAAATATCTGTCATCTATCGCTACATATCTTGTCTGTTTCTATTTCTATCTATCTATCTATCTATCTATGTATCTATCTATCTAATCTTCTTCTATCTTGAGATAAATTATCTATCGCCCTTTTTAATTTATCGCATGCGTTTCTTAGTCTGTTTTATCTGCATCATGTATAGTATCTATCAGTTGGGTCTTCGTCTATCTTGCTAGATATCTATCTATCTATCGCCCCATCTGTCATTCCGCCAGATCTATCTTAGTCTGTTATCTATCTATCTATCTATCTTCTATGTATCTATCTATCTAAGTCTTCTTCATCTTGCTACGAATCTTTCTAAAAACCCCATTTGGGTATCTATCGTCTTCAGAGGATAGTGCAAATCTATTCGGAAAAGATGTTGATGAGTCTCATGGTGATTACGAAAATATCGGTCTATCTATCGACTTATTCTGATCGTTCTGACAAGAAAATAACACCATCTAATTTCTTGGTGAGGGCTGTCTATCTACTCAACATATCTTAGTCTGTTTTCTATCTATCTATTCATCATCTATCTTATGTATCATCTAAAGTCCTTCTACTTCAAATTTTAACAAATATCGCCCTATTTAATCTAAATCTATCTTAAAATATCTTGAAATCTATCTAAAGTGTAAATTTCTTCAATAAAATCGACATTGTCTATTCACCCATCAGCCTGCATCAGGACTCTATCGAATCTATCTGCAACTTTTCTTCGTTTGGTTTTCTATCTGTTTTATCGCTAGGATTTCTACCTATCTATCTATCTATCTTTTTTCTATCTTGCTAGATATCTATCATCCCCCCATCAAGTCTATCTATCGAGAATCTTAGTCTGTTTCTATCTATCTACTATCAATCTATTACAGAAAATTTTCTTATCAAGATCAGATATCGCCCTATCTGTCTATAGAAGAAAGGATGAGGTTTCATTGGATAGATCAAGGCATCTGGATCTGTCGATCTGACATCTACTATCTTGAATACATGAGTTGATGTCATGCTGAAATCTTAGTCTGTTTCTATAGATATGGAATATATATCATTAAGTCTTCTTTCTATCTTTGACAACTGGTAAATCTATCGCTACTTCGTCTATCTTAGTCTGAAATCTATCTATCTATCTATGTATCTAATCTATTGATTTTCTTATCAACGAACCTATGCCGGTTCATCTATCGGATGTTATTTTTTCTGTTTCTACAATCTATCTTTTTTATCTATATATATAACATTCTCTTCTTCTATCTTGCTAATATCTATCAACATCGCCCATCTGTCTATCTATCGCTACTTGCATTCTATATATATATATCTATCTATCTATATATATATCTATATATATAACTATACTATTTGCTTTCTATCTATCATCTTTATTTCAATCTTCGCTATTCGATCTATCTTAGTCTGTCCATCTCTCTATTCTATCTATCTAGTCTTCTATCTATCTATCTATCTATCTATATCTCTATCTTCTATCTTGCTTCGATCTATCTCAGTCTGTTTCTATCTATCTATCTATCTATCTATCTATCTATCTATCTATCTATCTTCTTCTATCTTGCTAGATATCTATCTTATCTATCGCCCTATCTGTCTATCAATCTTCTTCGATCTATCTTAGTCTGTTTCTATCTATCTATCTATCTATCTATCTATCTATCTAAGTCTTCTTCTATCTTGCTAGATATCTATCTATCTATCGCCCTATCTGTCTATCTATCGCTACTTCGATCTATCTTAGTCTGTTTCTATCTATCTATCTATCTATCTATCTATCTATCTTCTTCTATCTTGTAGATATCTATCTATCTATCGCCTATCTGTCTATCTATCGCTACTTCGATCTATCTTAGTCTGTTTCTATCTATCTATCTATGTATGTCTATCTATCTATCTTCTTCTATCTTGCTAGATATCTATCTATCTATCGCCCTATCTTAGTCTATCGCTTCTTCGATCTATCTTATCTGTTTCTATCTATCTATCTATCTATCTATCTATCTAAGTCTTCTTCTATCTTGCTAGATATCTATCTATCTATCGCCCTATCTGTCTATCTATCGCTACTTCGATCTATCTTAGTCTGTTTCTATCTATCTATCTATCTATCTATCTATCTATCTATCTATCTATCTATCTATCTATGTATCTATCTATCTAAGTCTTCTTCTATCTTGCTAGATATCTATCTATCTATCGCCCTATCTGTCTATCTATCGCTACTTCGATCTATCTTAGTCTGTTTCTATCTATCTATCTATGTATGTATCTATCTATCTAAGTCTTCTTCTATCTTGCTAGATATCTATCTATCTATCGCCCTATCTGTCTATCTATCGCTACTTCGATCTATCTTAGTCTGTTTCTATCTATCTATCTATCTATCTATCTATCTATCTATCTATCTATCTAAGTCTTCTTCTATCTTGCTAGATATCTATCTATCTATCGCCCTATCTGTCTATCTATCGCTACATCGATCGATTTCAATCAGTTTTTTTATCTTACTAGTTATCTCTATTTCTATCTCATTCGTTTTCTATCTATCTATCTATCTACTCTCTCTCTCTCTCTCTCTCTCTCTCTCTCTATATATATATATATATATATATATATATATATATATATATATATCTTTCAGTCTGTTTTTATCTAACTAGCTTGCTTTCTACCTATCTATCTCAATTTCTTCCTATCTGTTTCTATCTATCTATCTATCTATCTATCTATCTATCTATATATATATATATATATATCTGTCTGTCTGTCTGTTTTTATCTATCTGTTTCTATCTATCTGCATGTTTCTGTCTATCTATCTGTTTCTATCTATCAATTTCAGTTTGTATCTATCTCAGTCTGTATCTGTCTGTTTCATATTAGTGTCCGTCACATTCTATTCACAAAATCAACCTATCACAGTCCATTGATGTCTATCTCATTCTATTCATATCTGTCAGTCTGTTTTTTTTTTTAATTATCAATATCGCCATCTGTTCATATCGAGCTTAGAATTCGATATCCTGTTCTCATGCATCAGTATCTGGTATTCTGTTTTATGTGGGAAATATTCTCAGGGGCAGACAACTTGTACTTTCATTGTTAGGTAATACAAATTACTTTTTGGAAGCAAGGAAATCGTGCGTATATATTGGCAAATCCGAATAACACAGTTAATGCCAGGTTAGTCTACGAGTGCAATTATACTGTAGTACCTAGAACCAGCTGACGCACAGTGGTGTCATTAACGACTAAACCAGTTCAACCGCCAAAATTTTCATGTAATGGGGTGGCTAGACACATAAGAGGATTAAAAACAAAACCTGTGAAAGGGTGGATGAACCGTCTTGTAGGGTCAACGAACACCAGCACAATGGGGTAGAATGGGCTCCATTGCTATGGATGCAGCAACGCGGTGACGACACAGGCATCGATGGGCGGAGGGTTTTCTATACTGATGTCAACGACCAGGGCAGAGGAATCTTTTAATGGAATCAACAGCTACATCTCCGTGACCGTCTACCTTTAAGTTGAATGATATTGAGTGTGGTTTAACCCGGAGAGTGATGGGCTCTCTAGGTCTACTTGCTCAAGAGTGAATGAATACCTCTCCGTCTTTTTAATATTACTGTCCTCTGGTCTGATTTCACCCTGACCATTAACCTCTCTCTCTCTCTCTCTCTTTCTCTCTCTCTCTCTCTCTCTCTCACACACACACACACACACACAGATGGAGTCAAATTCTACGCTAAATATTTTCAGCAACTTTCAATGATGGTTGATTGCCTGTCTATGTTCCGGTTTATCATGGCATAAAAAATAAGTTAATCATCTCCACCCTCTAAGCTTACTTTCTATTTAGCGTAGATCTGACATTTAATTGGTTAATCAAGACATACCAAGAAGTCTATATTTAATTCTGAAATACTATCAAAGTATTGAAACATGAAAGCTTTTGCGATTTTGTTATAATCTGCTATAGTAAAAAAAAAATAATAATATTGATTAATTATATGTGTGTGTGTGTGTGCGCACGCATGGTGGTGGGGGGGAATATAATATATAATTTTTTATATATCAAAACAATGTTCAACACTTACCCTCTGTAGATGATTATAACCGGTTCTGGCGTATATAATTCCATCAATATAGAGTCCGATGATATCCTTCAAGAAGACGAACCGCGTTACATAGAATTTATCACTTTGTCATTCAATTCCTCTCACCCACACAGAGATCTCTTTCATTCTGACCCGAAGACGCCTATCTAAAGATCTCGAAACGCGTAGTCTATAAACAATTTTAACCGTTGGCGGATTTCTCAAAAATTTTGATCGAATTCTATATCCTTCTAACACACACACACACACACACACACACACACACACACATATATATATATATATATATATATATATACATACTGGGTATAACAGAATTGACCAAATCGTGTAACAGCACAATTATTCATCCTACAAAATGTTTAATTTTCATTTATGATGTTTAGCCATCTTGACACCATTTGTCGTAGGGATCAATAAAAACACTTTGCGTTATTCAGGTAGAAAGTCCATTCAAGAACGACCAAGAAAACGGTGAATAAGATTAAAAAAGAGAGAAAAACTGGATCAGGAGATCACAACAGGAAGAAGAATCATCATTTCAACTTGCATCTATAGAGATCAATTAAAAAAGATTCAACTCAATCCATAAGACGTTTGCCACGCGAGATAAGAGTATGACAGTCCACAGAGCAGTGAAAAAAGATTTGAAAATGAAAAGAAATGAAATCGTACGTGAAACCTGTGAAGCACCTCGTGATGACAGAAATTAGAGATTAGAGATGGAGAAGAACATCTTGAAAAAGTTTGAAAATGATCCTGAAATAATATATATATATATATATATATATATATATATATATATATATTCATGAATTATTCACACAAAAACTAATGCAAAGGTTAATGATTTAATTGGCTAGAAATCCATCATCGCAAACAATTCAAATAATATACAAAAACCTCCAATCCGTTATGAATGAAATGATCCTTGTTTATATAAATTTCTGCCGTATTAGTTCTTATTTTTACTACAAGCTTTCGTCTGTTCCTACAGACATCTTCAGGTATAGAATAGATGTTGTTCTTGTTTTTTCTCTTAGTAATAAGAGGACAACGAAAATATATGTATTGTTGCACAACCTTTAAAAATTTTAAATCAAACTCAGCGTTGCTACTGCGCGCTCCAAAAACAATAACTCATTTTCAATAGCATTTTCGGATACAACAATACCTTTGCATTAGTTTTTGTGTGAATAATTCATGAATTTATAAATTGATTACACGTTTATCGTAATATATATATATATATATATATATATATATATATATATATATATATATATATATATATGAACTTTATTTCAAGCTTCCATGAGCTTTAGATCTTTAGCTATGATTAATTAAAGATAAACATGCCATTTTCCTTTATGACCGATTTCATCATGATTCTTATTGGAGAGTATTTATACATTGTTATTGCTTAAAGTAGAGTCCAATCGTGTTATAAAACCTCGGCGAATTCTATTAAGATATCTTTAATCATTTCTAAGATACAACTATTCAAATCTTAATCTAACAATTGGACAATTTTGCACACACACACACACACATATATATATATATATATATATATATATATATATATATATAAATATATGAAAATTTGTCTGGTTTAACCAGTAGAGAAGACAATATTCATGAATAAAAATGACAATAGGAAAACTAGTAATTGCTGACGCGTTTCGTCCAATGTGGACTTTATCGAAAATGAAATTAATTGAACAAAGTAACTAATAAAAACAGAATGTTCCTATTTTCCCCATTTCACCATTCTTAACAAAATTACTGCTCTTACAAACAAATATACACAACAGATTCATAAAATCAAAAGAAAATGGTTGAATACATCAACACAGATATAATGACAATATTCTCCACACGTGACAAATACTGACGTTATTTTCAGTTAAAAATATGAAAATAGCGTTTCTCTACATTCCAGTTGCTAGGAACATTCTGTTTTTATTAGTTACTTTGTTCAATTAATTTCATTTTCGCATTTTGCTTTCATAAAGTCCACATTGGACGAAACGCGTCAGCAATTACTAGTTTTCCTATTGTCATTTTATTCATTCATATATATATATATATATATATATATATATATATATATATATATATATATATATATATATATATATATATATATTGACTTAAATATACAAAAACGCTCTCTTTAAAGGATTCTTTTTCGACCAATATTTCAAAAGAAAATGCGTTGGTACCTTCTTACGTAAACAAAATGAAACAAATCTGCAAAGCAAAATCCAAGTATAGGATGGTTAATTGAGGAACCACGACAAAAATTGAAATTTATTACTAAAACATGGAAAAAAAGAAAGTAAAGAATATGCCAATAAATCTCACTATATCGGTTCCTATAGGATCAATTTTTACTGACAGAAACAGAGTACGAACAAATTTCTCTTTCTATCTCCACAGAGACACTCGATTATAGACACTGACCCAAGATTCGCAAGTGTTTAGCTGACTGTGCTCTGCATAAAATGGTAAATGCCGTATCCGTGTACTTGACAGCACATACTGGGTTATCTATCAACTGCTGCCACACTCTTAACCCATGGCAGTACTACCTTCTCAACGTACTTGATGTAGGCCTCCTTGTTGAGTCTAAAGCCCTCTGGGAAGATGAATGGTGGCATAATATCACCATCATTAGTGGTCACTCCAAGAACCATAATGTTGACTGTATATTTGGTTTCCATCACTCTCGATACATCTTTTGGGAACACAGCATCCTCTGCAGTGTCCTCAGATTGAGACCCAAACATTCTGAAATGTTTGCATTGGAGCTTCCAGCGCGAAGGCCAAGCAGTAAAGCATGCAGTTTCCACCTTTCCGACTTAGTAAATTGCGTCATAGTGCTCTTTTTCTCAGAAATGATAACCAAATGATTTTACTATACTGTGCAGTCAACAACATCAAAAACAAACAACGCGCATGCGCAAAAATTAAAAAATATAAAATGGCGGCAATTTACCTCTGTACGCCAATATATATATATATATATATATATATATATATATATATATATATATATATATATATATATATATATAAATATTAGTGTTAATTTGAAAGACTGTTTTTGAAGCCAAAATTGCTGGCTTTTCTGTGGTTCGCTGATAGGGAGTGATTTAAATCAATCAGGCTTTGTGGTAGAGTGCTCAATATCGGAGATAGAGCGTCAATAGAATTAATGTGAACAAGTTTTTTTTCGCTTAACTTATGCATGAGTTAAGTGAAAAAGATTTGTGATATTAATTCTATATAAACATTATGTATCTCCAGGATGTAAGGAGTCATGTCTCTCCACATGTATTCTTAGAAAAGATAATGGTCTGGTTTCCGATTGCCATCGGCACAGTTGAAAATTCTCTTTTCTTTCTCTCAAACTGATTGTCACCTAAGGCTAATATTTAACTCTGCAATTTAACCAATAGCTGTGTGGCTTCATGACATTTCCAAAGAAATGTCAAAGTGAACACAATAGCCCGGAAACTGAACATGGATCGCCGACTCCACTCGGCGCCGATATCCGCAAACCTTCTCAAGGCAGCTTACGGCCACATTAGGTTATGACACCGGTCCCTGAACCATCACCAAAGTTAAGCAATGTCGAACCTGGCCAGTACCTAAATGGGTGACCGCTTGGGAATACCAGTTGCTGTAAGCTCGGGTGTGCGAGTGGTGTAAGGGATAATGCCTCGGAAGTTTTAATCGGGGAGCCGAGTTCTAATTCCCGTTATACTTAGGCGCAAATAACCTTGGGAAAGGCATGAATCCGACTCTTCTCCACCCAACTAAAGTTTAATTAGTAAAACTTGTATCACTAAACCATTATTATCTTTAAAAAAGAGATTTTTACAATCTAAAAATATTTTCTGGCTTTAAATAACCTGTAAGGGGTTGATAACCTGTAGAAAACGAATCACCGACACTTCCTCAAGACAGTAGTATCAGTAAAAGGCTGTTGCAGGTAATGACTGCCTTGATCTTATAGTAATCACGATTATAATGTTTAGAATCCTCGACCTTTTTGATCGTGACAAGAAAAAACAACTGCAACCCTCATTTTCTTTATTCTATTACGACCACCGCCTTTATACGTATCTTCACTGCGACCATTACTGCCGTCGCTATCAACATTGACCAACGAAGACGTCATCCTTACAACCTAAGTAGTCGCCATTTTTGCCGAAGCCGTCAATATTGATAATGTTGTATTCATTGTCCGTGATGTCTATTTTTTTTAGGTCTGCTTTTTAAATCTGGCTATTATAGTTGTTAATTTCGGGACACTGAGTAATGTATTCCTGAACACAGACATTCAGCGTCGTAATTCCCGCGGCAAGAATGCTCAATACCAGATAATTATTTTTTTTAAAAAGTATCTTGGTGAAATCGAGGCTCTAGCTAAAGTCGCTGTCATCATATTTACTTGACTTATATCTAACAGTTTCACTTTTACTTTCCCCCTCATTCTCTTTCTCCCTCTAACTTTCTTAATTTTGCAGTCTTTCTCTTTTCTAACGTTCTCTCTTTCACACACACTCTCTCTCTCTCTTTACTTTTTCCCTATCGCTTACTCTCTCTCACTTTTTACTTTCACTCTTTTTCACTTTCTGTTTAGTTTGTCTCTTTCTCCCTCTCTCGCTCTTTCTTTCTTACCCTCAATCTCTCTTTATTTTCGACCTCTCTCTCTCTCTCTCTCACTTTTACTTTTACAGTCTCTCCTCTCTCTTGAATTTCTCTATTTCTCTTTCTCTCTCTCTTTAATTTCTCCTTTTCGTACTCTCTCACCTTTGACTTTCTTTCCTACTCTCTTTACTTTGTCCTTTTCTCCCTTTCTCGCTCTTTCTTTCATACTCTCCTTCTCTATTATACTCTTTATACTCTCTCTGTATTTCTCTCTTTCTCATTCTTTATCACTCTACTTTGTTTCTTGCTCATTTACATATAGTCTCTCATCTCTTTCTCTCTCTTTAATTTCTGTCTTTATCATTCTGTTTCTCTTTGTTATTCTCTCTCTCTCTCTCTCTCTTTTTACGTTGTCTTTCACACTGTCTCTCTTTCAGTCTCTTTCTTTCGTTCTTTCTCATTAATTCTCTCTTTGCTTTCCCTCTTTCTTATTCCGTGTCTCTTTAATTTGTTCATATATCACTCACTCTCTTTCTCTCTGTCTCTCTCTATTTTCTGTCTTTCTCACTCTTTCTTTACTTTCTCTCTTTCGCCCTCTCTCTTTCTCTCCCTCCCTGTTTATTATTTGCATGCATTCATTTAAACATTCATAAATCTAAACCTTTTTTTCATCCTCCTTCTCTTCCTCTTTCTCTTCCTCTCTTTCTCTTCCTACTCTTTCTCTTCCTCTCTTTCTCTTCCTCTCTTTCTCTTCCTACTCTTTGTTTCCTGGGGCGCGGTGGCGGCGGCTTCCTGTTCATTTTTCTTCACTTTTACCACTCTCGTTCTGTAATTTTCATATCCCAATATCAACTCTTATTCTTCCATTATTACTCTCTCTCTCTCTTTCTCCTCTTTTTTCTTGTTTCTTCATCTTCTCGTTTTTCTCTCTTGTCTTCATCTCCTCCTCCGTTCCTTCTCTGCATTTTACACGCTTTCTTCGCTTATTTTTTTCTTTTTATTATTATTTGTCCCCTCTTTCTCTTTCTTCGTTTTTTCTCTCTTTCTTCATCTTCTCTTTTTTCTTCTTCTTCTTCTTCTAAATTTTCCTGGTTTTATTCTCCTTTTTCTCCTTCTCTTATTATTTTTCTCTCTTTTTCTTTTCTTCTTCTTCTTCTTTTTCTTTTCTTCTTCTTCTTTTTCTTCTTCTATTCTGTCTTCACGTAATATTTTCTTCATTTCTCGTTTCCTTTTTCTCTTCCTCTTTTCTTCTTCCTACCACTCACCTATACGCTTCTTGTATCGCTTTATTCATTTCTCTCTCTCTTTTCATTCATTCTTCTTTGTCTCTCTTACTTTTTTATTTACTTTCTCTTCCTTTTCATTGATTTCTTATTTATCGCCTCATCAGCCTTTATGTCAACTTGTTTACTTTCTAAATCGACCTCTTCTTGTTTACCTCTCTTTCTTAATCTTTTTCCTCTCCCTCTCCCTCTCCATCTTTTTTTCTCTGTCTACTGCCCCTCTCTCTCTGTCTCACTCTCTCTCTTTCTTCGCCTCCGTTTTCTTCGTATATATCTTTCATATTTTAATGTATGCTCCTTAATTCCATCTCTTTATCTCTAATAATTATCCTCGCTTTCTTTCTTTCCCTTTTTATCTCTCTCTATCTCTCCCCTTATCTCTCTCTCTCTCCTTCTTTCCTCTGTCTTCAATATATTTTTCATATTTTCCTTTACTCCATCTCTTTTTCTCTCATAATTATCTTCTCTCTATTTCTCTTTCTATCTCTCCCTCTTTCACTCTCTCTCTCACTCTCTCTCTCTCTCTCTTTGTATCTCTCTCTAATAAGCATGTGCATTTTATTTGTTTATCCTCTATCTTCTCTTCTTCCTTCCTTGTCCTTCTCTATTGCCCTGTTTTTTAGTAGCAGGAAGCCTTTGAGCGCTCAAAAATTGCCGGCCATATTGTCTAAGTACCTTACCCGCTTTTTGTTCGTCTCTTCTTCGAAGCACTTATTTTCTGCCATCCACTTTTTTTGTTCGTAAAGTGCTTCTTTCTCTCAAAATTCTTTTGCTCGAATAGAGTTTCCAATATAAAGTTTGCTGAGGAATGTGCACGCAAATTCGGTTTCTACAAATTCGACCAATGCGACGTCGAATGAAATGACCTTGGGCGAGTCTAAGAAATATTGTGTTCAATTTTCGTTATTCATAAAATAATGCCGAAATTCACCGATCAATTTTTCTCCTTCCTATTCTTGCTTCTTGAAAATAACTCCGCGTCCTTTCTTGTACCTCAAGTCATTTTTTCCTCAGTAAAGAAAGGCATGCCGGGATATTACTAAAATGGATCATGACAAATGGAGCTCTCTCTCCTACACTCCGTAACGGGTGCAGTTGTCAGCAATTTAAAATTAAGCACGTTTAGATTCAATGAAAACGGTAGGAATTGAAGAGAAATAAAGTATGATTACTTAATCGACGGAAAGGAGAGTGTTCAAGTCTGGCTTTTAAACACACCAATAATTCTGTATTTCTCTCACGCACTCTCTCTCTCTCCCTCTTCCTCGCTTATTTTCTCTCATTCAGTATGTCTTTCCTAATCTATCATTGTCCTTTTACTGTCTTTCACTCTCACATTGTACTAATTTCCGCCATCGAATTTCATCTGCGTTCCTTTCATCACTTCTCAGTGTTCCGTTCTTACCTTCTTTTTATCTCTTCCTCAATGCTACTTTTTCTTTCTTTCTTTCTCCCTCTTTCTCTCTCTCTCTCTTTCTCTCTGTCTTCCTCTTTCGCTAGTACTATTTCTCTTTTTACTAATTTCTGCCATCTTCTAATTTCATCTGCCTTCCTTTCATCCCTTTTCAGTGTTTCGTTTTTACTCTTATTTTTATCTCTTCTCTCTCACACTGCCTCTTTCTCATTCCCTTTCTCTCTTCCTCACTTCCTCTTTCTCATTCATTTTCTTTTATTCCATCTACCTTTCTCTGATATTTCTCTCACTCTTTCTTTTTACTAATTTCCGCCATCTTCTAACTCCATCTGCCTTTCCTTCAACATTTTTTGCTTCGTTCTCTCTCTCTCTCTTCTCTCTCTCTCTCTCTCTCTCTTCTCTCTCTCTCTCTCTCTCTCTATCTATCTATCTGTCATGGCGGTATTCTGTAGATGACTGCCTTCTCTCATTTGCTTTCTCTCTCGCATGAATTTAAGCGTGCTACTAGATTTTCAACTAAGTCTCGCCGTTTTACTGTTGAACTCGCGAGATGCAACCGGTTAAGTCCGAGAAAAGAAACTATTAGTTTATTTTCTCACGATTCCCACGGGTGAAAATACTTTCCGATTACTTGCTTCCTTGAAAACTACAATCTTCAAAAATTTAAATGCAACGTCAATCGCCATCTTCTATCTACTTGCACCCTTTTCCGATTATTTTTTTTTTTTCCTCAATCCTCCCCATTCTTAGTCTTCTCATTCTTTTTCACTTTCACTCCCTGTAAGCCCACTTGCGTCTTAGTGGCATTATCGCCTTGCTTATAATGAAATAATCAAAAATAAAATAAAATAACGGGTCTAACAGTAAAATTGTCCAAATCATGTAACAGGATAATTGTCCATCCCACAAAAAGTTTAATATCTAAAATACAACTAAATAAAGTTTCTTTTATCCAGGTTTTCAGATAAGACGTTTAGCCATCTTGAAACGATCTGTCGTAAGAATCACTGAAAATCCCTAACACTTATTCAGTTAGAAAAAGAACTGGTTAAAATCGTTTTTTGTCAGACCCACTGTCTTCCCAACTGAGCAATGGTGTGAGGAAAAAGACCATTCAGGCCTTCAGTAATGATATCAACATTCATACTCTGGCTTCCCTCTTCGCGATTCTGTAGCACCAGTGCACGAGTTTAGAAGAAGGATAGTCCTCTATAAGACCTACAGAATTAATTCGCTCGAAGCCAATTTTAATCAAATTTTCCCGTAAAAATTTCCCGATCTTCCTATTTTCATTTTCTGCTGAATCTAAAGTTTATTATTGAATAAGCTCAATACCCTATCGGCTGGGGTTTCAGAATACGCCGACTGCACTTCTGCAGAAGGGTAAGAACCCCACCCCAATGAGGCATCATGCGTATGATGATAAACTACATCAGTGTCCTGGGTATGGCGATAAACTACATACAGCAGCAAGGCCTTTGATCAGAAGGTTTGGAGGTCCGTGGAACGACTTCCTAATTGCTGGTGTTCTCAGGTCCACCGTGACTTGGGCTGGTAGCACCTGTTAGGGCTTCACCTATGGGCAAATAGTTGAGCCCCACACTGGGGTCAAAACACTATGAAAGTGTCAAAATAGGTTTTAATACGGCAATTCATTTTAAGAAAAAAAATATTACCAGCAATACATTTTTGAAAAACATATATTATCAGCAATAATTTTTTTTTAAAAAATATGAACAGCAATAAAAATCTTGTCGGAATTAAATAACCCATTAAGGTGTTGATATGCTGTAAAAGAAACCAAACCAAACCTGAATAAGCTCAGGGCGAGTTCTATGACAATAAAATATCCGTAAAAATTCGAGCTTACGGTCATATCACGTTGAAACACCAGTTCCCGTACGATCACCGAAGTTAAGCAAAGTCGATCTTGGTTAGTTGCTAGATGGGTGACCGCCTGGGAATACCAGCTGCTGTGTGGATGGTGTAATGGATAGCGGTTTGGATTTTTCATCGGAAAGCTGACTTCCAATTCCATTTGGGTTCGGGATTATTCACTTACGCGTAAATACCTTTGGGAAAGGTACGACCACCTCTTCCCCCACACCAGCTAAAGGTTAATTAGTAAGATCTGTATCGCTAACACATTATTATCTCAAAAAAAAAATTACAATCTAAAATGGCTTTAAATAAACTGCAATTGCCGTAGAAAAAGAATGAAAAATAGAATTTACCCTATCGCCTATTTGCACTTAACGACTATAATAATCATATAGATGAATACTTGAAATTGGTTACATACAGTTTAGATGTTTCTGAACGAATCTAGGACCATGCATGACGCCTATATGAGAGTCTCCATCTGATGAGGCTAGTTAAGGACACGACTCGGGTTTTTACGGTAAATATTTTGTTTGTTTGTTTTTTTTTCGTTTTTTTGGATTTTTTTTTGGTGGGTGCAGCTTGTGGTTTGGAACTCATTGCTTTGTTTACGTTAGGATCGGTCAAGTAATGGATAGGGGCCCTGACTGAGGAATCGGATAGCCGAGTTCGAATTCCAGTCGAATCCATTACGTGCTAATACCCTTACGAAAGGTATGAATCCTCTTCTTCTCCCCCCGCCACCAGCTATGGGTACATAGCAGGACAGAAGGGTTCTATAGTCTTGAATGGCAACTAGAAAGAAATAGCAACCTACAGCCTCGTCAGTTACGTATCGAAAGATACATTATCGCCTAAGCGTGTATCACTCATGGCACATAACTGACCGATTGACGTTAGAATATGAAACTGAGCAGATATGTCTATTTCAAGAATCAGAAAAAATCTGTGTAAAGGCATTGGTCATTGGCGCAATCTCTAGCCAAGACATTAAAGCACTAATGACGGTTTCCACTTTGGGAACGCAGGTTCGAATCCTGCTACAGAGTGATTATTTTTTACTAATACGATATCTCGAAATATTAAACAAAAATAAATAAATATATTGTTTAATAAATAAACGGAACGTCTGCACAAATACGAGTATCCACTAAAAATAATGTTTAAGTAATAAAAATTATCTCATGATTTCAAAACAAGAAAAATATATTGATCTTCTCAAGTTCAATAACTGTTATCTGCCTTTCTAGCATTGATGGAAGTTTCCTTCCTAACCTTTTCTATAAGGTAGTGTGAAAAATCAACATCTTGATCATGTCATTCTATAACCGTCTATTTTGATGTGCCTCCATTTTAGTTGTCTTCAGATTACGTTGATTTTGTTATTTGGTAGAGTTCTTTGTGATTATGTAGCGCCAGTCTATAAGATCTGATAAAGATAAGAGTGTCTTCTTTAAGCTCTACAGGATTCATCCTCCTGAAACCACTTTTCATCCTTGATCTGAGAAAACTGTTGATAGTTTAGACCAATATTTCTAACCGGTGCAAACAGGCACACAATAGCGTCCTGAAAGGTAGGCAAGTGCTCACCAAGTTAACAGAAGAGTAATCTATGAACTATTTTTATATTTAAAAAAATTTTGTTGTTAAAAACCTAGAGACACTAAGCACATGGCTTTCATGTCAAGTCAAGTCTTCGGAATTTGATATTTCAAAATGGACGCTAAATTCCTTAATATTTAAGAAGGACTGGATAAAGTATTTCTTTCTGCCTTCCCCAAGAGATTAAAGTCAGTCATCATCGACCTTTTTAAAAAAAAAATAGCAGATTCTTCCTCAATCCCTGCAAATGATAACCATACCGCTAATCCTCTCTGGGGAGGCAAAAGAAAATTTTCGTATTTTCAAATTTCATGACTTTTTTTTTATTAAAGTTTAAAGTGCGTCCCAGAATTTTAGTTATTCTAAAAGTGCGCTCTGAATTAAAAAAAAAATAGTTAAGAAACACTGGTTTCGATATTTGAATGTGTTGGATGTTTTGTATGATAGCCACATGAAGGTCTGGATTGTGTTTCTCAACCTTTTTAAGCAACGGCAAACCTAGGAGCATATGAAAATATCACGGCGCACTTAGTAAATTTTTTAAAGGGTGTACATGTAAATGTTATGAAATAAAACGATAGAATTAAAAAAAAAAAAAAAGACACACACAAATATGAACTTATTTTATTTTAATGTTTCTATTCAACCATTTGTGCAGCTTATTTAGTGTGAAACCCGTACCTGGAGTTTTCTCGCGATTTCTTCAATATGGTGTGACAATATTTCGCGGCACATTTGAGAGGATCACGCTGAACGCTAGTGTGCCGCGGTACGCTGGTTGAGAATTATAGAACATCGAAAGAAACGGAAATACTGAGCTTTGGGTTTAATTAGAATAAGATGAGGCACCGTTATCGTAGCCTACTGCAGCATTTCTATGGTGATTTCTTCTGGGGTAGAGGAAAGACTGAAACAGTAATATTTACCAGGGAGAGAGTTTGAAGTTCTCTATGGTTGGCGTTGCACTGAGGAAGATGAAAAAGATTTTTCAATTCATGTTACAAAGGAGAGAAAATTTCACTTCCAAAAATGAAAAGCGTTTTTATTATCAAGTTCGTTGAAAACAAAAGAGTACTGAACAGGAAATCCACAAAAATTGGATCATTATAATCGGGGCGAGCACGAATATAAGTTTTATTAAGTTGCTTAATTTTTCAAGTTGGAAGATTTAAACAACCATTCCTTTACGATAGACCGCTTTACTACGTTATATTTTTACAACTACAGGAATGGATTGTGATTCCTTTAAATCAATGCTTCTCAATCCTTTTAAGCAACGTCACTCGTAAGAACAAATGAAAATATCATGGTACACTTGGCAACCTTTTTAAAGAGTATACATTTTAATGTTATGAGATGAAACCATAGATTAAAAAATACACACACACAAATCTAAACTTATTTTATTTCAATGTTTCTATTCAACTATTTGTACAGCTTATTTAGTGTGAAATATGTGCCTAGTGTTTTTTCACGATTTCTTCAATGTTTGGTCGAATGTACAATAAGCGGCCTCTCAGTACCTGTCTATATTTCTGAGATGAGGTATTATGCACACTATTTACATTATTCGGACTATTGTCCTCATCTTTGTTGCCATAATTATCACAACGTTTCGGCCGTTGTACGCCCCGGCGTTCTTCAGTATCTGTCTGTATTTCTGAGATGAGGTGTTATGCACACTATTTGCATTCTTCGGACTATTGTCCTCATCTTTGTTGCCATATTTATCACAACGTTTCGGCCGTTGTACGCTCCGGCCTTCTTCAGGTGGTTGGAAAATTGAACTGAACCCTTTATTTCGCTCGCTGGGGTAGACTGTTCTAGTTCCATCTGCCATGTCTAATGGATGCCAGTTATCAGTTATCTACTGTTAATTCACCTCTTCAAGTTCTCCTTTGGCTTAACCAGGTATTGAACTCACAACACTTTGGGTCCTGTCACTGGATCTAACCAACGCCTTTATCCACTGTTCAGTTCAAGATTCTAACCACTTGAAGAAGGCCGAAACGTTGTGATAAATATGGCAACAAAGATGAGGTCAATAGTCCGAAGAATGTAAATGGTGAAGCAGACTCTCATTTCGTCTTCAGTTGAACGTAGTCTTTCTCGCTTCTTAATTTTGATGTCATTTAGGGTTTAGAAGTCACATAAGTAGAATATAAGTACAAAATTTGCTGTGACATTATATGTCGTTACAATATTTCGCGGCACATTTAAAGAATCACCGATCCAGATGGTGCACTTTAGAAGTGTTGTGGATTCAGAGATGAAATTCGGTCTCCAATGAATGACAAACGCAAGAATTAAATATAAGAAATAAAATGTATTTACACAACAATACAAAGGGTAATACTGTTAGTAAATCCAGGAACGCGGTTAGTAGCAATAACATAGATATTTAGAGTCGGGCGTGCTTGTAACTGTGACTTCTACAAGCGGTTACCTCACACTATTACTCTACCTCCAACTCAATCACAATCTGTCTTCCTACTATCTCTACTCACTCTGTATTCTGACTGACTCTGGGTATTTAACGGCAGCAGTCCAAGTAACATTGGTAGAGTCCACTTATATGAAAAAGGGGAGGACCCCATAACAAGAAGAATAAATACCTGATCTCTAAATTATTTTTCTTTTTGCTTTTTGTTTGTTTGTTTTTGCTTGTTTGTTTTTTATTATTTGTTTTGCTTTTTTTTCTTAGTTTTCTCTTGAAAGTAGAACGCAACTGACTCCCTACAGACACTTCGCTCTGCGGCTAGAAATGTACTCTACTACCCTTGTCAGCTGATTTGTTTCACCCTTAAAGCAAATACATATTTACCAGAGGAGACTTACTATTTCGGAAATTGCCAATCGAATATCTATTGGACCTATATTATATCGACCCAATCAGCAAAAAGGTTTCGTCTGCTTCTTTTAAAATAATCTTATTGTCTGAAAAGAACACATAATTATTTAAAGAAAGTAAGATTTGGTATCTAAAAGTAAACTTTGTAGTTTTGCCTCGTGGTTAGTATTGTTGCGCACCTGTCATTGGCAAAAAATTGATTTCAGATGATGATTTTAAAGGAAGAAACAAATGGAAAATTTTTGCAATACGGTTTTTCCTACTGTTTTTTTTTTTCTATGAAACAAACAAAGCTAAATGTAAATAAAAAAGGATATTATAATTATTCTATATATTGATTAGTATTCTTATGTTTTTAAAATTTTTATTACGATGTTTCTGCCTATCTGTTTTATGACCTTCTTCAGTGATTTTTTTTTTTTTGCGCATTTCATCAAATACTATTATTCTAAAGCTGGGTGCCTCCTCATGGAGAACAAAATATTGCATGTGAGAAGCAGGGAGAACAGATAATTCAGGATAAAGAAAATCAGGACAATGAAAGAAAGAAAAAATCGTAAAGGAAAAAAATATTGAGGAAAGAAGATAAAAGAAATCAGTAAGAAGGAAACCGAGAGAGAGAAAGAAAAAAGGAAGAAAATTAGGTTAATGTCGAAACCTCCTATTTTATTTTACATTACGCTATAAGCAAATGTTGGTGATGGTATTCCTCGAGTCTATTGGTAAAAACTGGCCACTCTTTTACTTGGTCAAGCTTATACTTCAGTCAATGGATAAAAATTAGTATGACTTATACATGCGTATATAGGAAAGTATTAATCTTTTTTATACTTGAGTCTTTAGATGAACATTTTTAAGTTTATACTTGAGTTGATATGCTAAACCCTGTTCATATATATTCTTGCGTCTATAGGATAAACCCTGTTCATTCTATACTTGAGACTATAGGATAAAACTTGCTCGTTTTTATACTTTAAACTACACGATAAAACTTCTTCATTTTTATATTTGCGACTATAGGATAGACCATTTTCATGTTTATACTTGAGACTATAGGTAAAGATGGATCGTGCATATGCTACAAGTAAATATTTGTGATGCTTAAACTTGAGTCTATGGGATGAGTTTTGTTAATGTTTATACTTTTGTCTGTAGGTAAAGATTGAGCCTTGTCGTGTTTAAACATTTGTATAATATATATATATATATATATATATATATATATATATATATATATATATATATATATATCTGTGTGTGTGTGTGTGTGTGTGTGTGTATTTTTTTTTGAGAAAAATATTTTCATCGTTACACAAATATTTTCATGTTTCGGAATTGAAAATGGTTCAAATCCACGAGGTTATGTTTGGTAACTTGTGATGAAAAAGGAATCATTTGGTAACTTACGATGAAAAAGGAATCACCTGATGAATTGGAACAATTTTTAGTTCCGAAACATGAAAGTGTTTTTGTAGCGATGTAAAATATCTTTCGAATAAAAATATTATTAAAATATATTTTGTCTACGTTGTATCGAGCACTTCTAAAAAAAATAATAAATGCTAAAGAATGGTAGATTCTTAATCTGTCTGCTCTTTCCTTTATATATATATATATATATATATATATATATATATATATATATCAGATAACTATATATGATTTTTTATATATCAAGAACAGTGGAAAACAGGTTTTTTTCGTGTGACGCGTTTCGTTCTTTAGACTTCTTCAGACTAAAACTGTTACGTTGGTGCAACTACACATGCGCACGAAAGAAGGATAGTGGGAATTTTAAATTTTGAAATAAAAAAAAACAGCTTCCTCTTTCGCACGCATGTCTAGATACCGTTGCCGCTTTTAAACGTTGTCACATTCGTATTGCTCGTTGTAGTAGAGACTTTGTAATCGCAGATACAACTATCGTAACGCCGTTGAACAATACTGGTGCCAGACGCCTTCGAATAACATTCGCACTTATAGTACTTGCTCGATAATACTTGCTGGAAAAGTAACCACTGAATACTGAAACAAATAGAGAAATAGTATAGTGAATAGAGTAGAGAATAGCGCTCCATATAGTAATAGAGGATAGAAGATAAATAACGATCGTTAGTCGTCAGCTACTTCCTACATATATGCGTTTCCTTTATGGTCACGTGGTATAATTAATTCAATAAAGGGAATGACTGTGTTTGCTCACTATATGAAAAAATACGTATTTTTTATTATTTATTTTGTTTTAATTGAAAGATCAAAAACTCAGAATAAACGTTAATCTAATGGGGATGTAAAGCTTCGTTACAACTTAGATACATTTGAAGTGGTGATATAGGCAGGGGAGGATGGAATCTTGCAAAAGACAATATATACACTATCAAATTATAATTTACAAATACGTAAACATATTTAGATATATAAACACCTAAAGTTCAACTGTCGGCAGCGACACCTTATTCCTCTATAACACCACGTCTTGTGAGTGTCAAATTATCCAAGCCTTTTTTTCTCATTATGTGTCACAAATATTGCGCCTGCATTTCAGCGTTATATATTCCGTCTGCTTTTAATCCTAGGCTTGTAACCTTGGCTTTCTTAAAATGGATATTGCCCCGGGGTGTTTCCATACCCCAATGCAAAAATGCTTATAATGTTACAGTTATGCAAAAACATATTGTCGGACTACTGGGAAAATAACAGGCAATCTCAGTTATTGCATAAACATATTTTGCAAAATGTATGTGGAATACGCCAACAAATTAATAGAGAGACGTTTTACCCATCGAAAATAGCCACAATATATTTCCATGAATTCGAAGATGTTACATCCGCTAAACTCATAATTACGGGATTGAAATTACAGGCCTGAAAAGAATAATAATATATATATTAAATGAATAATATATATATATATATATATATATATATATATATATATATATATATATATATTTACAAAATGGGGCTCAATGTAAATTTACAGAGCATTAATATTATATATTATGTTTTTTCGCTACAAAGTTCTACCATGTTTAAAAAATGGAAGCTAAAAGCCCCGAATTTAATTCTGTAATTAAATTAAAGACATTAGTTCCATTTCATTCTCAAGCGAATTTTGGAGTAACTTTTAAAATTACTGGGTTTTAAAGACACAGCTAAAACAAAATACATCCCTACCCCCTACTAAAACGTAGCAATAACTGATACATTAAAATATAGACATATTGAACACCTAGACACCCCTAGTCTAGCAAAATAGATTTATCTGTAATCTTGGAAACCTTGATTTTGTTTAGTGGTTTTATAGATTGAAACATTTTGTGGTATGGACAATTATGCTGTAACACGATTTGGAAAATTTTTTTGTTCCGCATATTATATATATATATATATATATATATATATATATATATATATATATATATATATATGAGTTAAAAAGACCAAATGTAGAACAAATATGGATAAGAATCCGACAGGATGAGATAAAGAACAAATAGGAAACGGTTATCTAACACGTTTCGCTTTTCCTCGAAGATGAAGGAAAACAAATAAAAATGCATAAGAACTGTAGTATTTTCAATTTTGTTTGGGCCGATTTTCATTAGTCAGTCATGTATCATGTGTATTAAAACTGTAGATAATTCTATATGTGTGTAAATTTGTAAATACTTATTATTTATTTATTCATTTATAATAAATGCGACTGTCAGTGTGTCACACTATTTTTCAATTAAAGGGGCACAACTTACTAATTTTCATTAGCTCACATTACAGAAATTTTGGAATTGTTTTCGGCGATTTTTTACGTAATTTTTGTGACGATTTTTTTTTTTTTGTACGATAGCAAGTTTTATAACTTGGAAATAAATTTAGGAATAATCGAAATTCATTTCGAAATCCAGCGAAAGTCACCCATAAAATAGAAATAAGTGTTTGTATGGAAAGTAAGGACCTACGCACATCCAGTTGTCTTTAAATTAAGTGGCGGCAGAAGAATTATTGTTGAACTTTGAAAAGGTAAGCTTAGATATTAATGCAATACTTAAATGCAGCGATCAATTTTGAGTTTTTCTGTAGTTTATTGTTGCCTATCGCATACGGCAGCAGTATGCCTCACATAAAGAAATCCCCGCCAACAGAGGGCTAGATTGCAATCAAAAGAGCCAAGGCTGCATCAAGGGAAAGAAAATCCCATGCAAATGAAAGCCCAGATCAAACGGTAGCCAGAAGAACTTCCACTACTGAGAATATGCAAAGACTGAGGGACTCAAACTCGTGAACAATCCCAAAACCCGATCAAGAGCTCTCCAAAGGAGCTGGCTTAAATGCCACTAAAAAAGGATATATATATACTTGTGGTCATAAGTTACTTTTCGTAAAGAACGATAAAACAATTGTTCCTTCAAGACGTGATCAGTCGATTATGGCCCTCCACAACTTTCTGTCCTTTGTAGCGCTTGGCAGTATTTGTCTTTTAGTTATCTCTCCTAATCCCTGTTCTACTGACCATTTACTCAAGCTTCTTAGGTAGATTATACACTATATTTTTCTATTTCTTTTTACTTCAACGTCTTGTGAGTGTTGCATATTCTAAGTCTTCTTTCCTCATTATGCGACCTACTATGTCACAGTGTGTTCGCTCCTGGTTACGTATTTCGCTTCTATGGGCAGGTGTTTGACGGTTCTATTTGATAAGCGGACACTATAATGAGATATAGAATTTCGAAACGCAGGGTTCAGAAATATACGAAATCATTCTTAAGAGTCATCAGGGTCTCCTTGAATTTTATCCAATGAAAACACGTACTTTTTTTAATAGCATTCGCTGCTGCTGATATACAACGTCCCCAAGGAAGTACTCTAGTATTCAACTTAATATATTGCAGTAACCCTGCCCGACGGCATTAGAAAAACCGACCGCAGAATATCCATGACCTGATAGAAGCTATGTACCAAATGAACTCAATGGAGGAAGAACTTTACTGCTTCTTGTGAAAAGATGACTTTCATGTTGCCTACTGTTTAGATCTCCTGAAGGTGTGATATGGACATAAAGATGAAAGATGATCTTCGAGGGGTATTTGAAAGTGGGAAAAAGTGCGGGAATAAGAGGGAGTGAAAATAGGGAGAGTGAACGTGATAGGCGGGAATTAAAAGGGAATCAGATGTAAACAATGTGAAGAAAGAAAGAAAGAAAGAAAGAAAGAAAGTATAAGGAAAAAAGAAAGAATGACGAAAAAAGAAAAAGAAAGAACGTATAAGAAACAAAAAAAGAACGAAAGAAAGAAATACAGTATAACGAAAAACGAAAGAAAGAAAGAAAGATAGATAGAAAGAAAAAAGAAAGAAAGTAGAACGATAAAAGAAAGAAAGAAAGAAAGAAAGAAAGATAGATAGATAGAAAGAAAAAAGAAAGAAAGTAGAACGATAAAAGAAAGAAAGAAAGAAAGAAAGATAGATAGAAAGATAGATAGAAAGAAAAAAGAAAGAAAGTAGAACGATAAAAGAAAGAAAGAAAGAAAGAAAGATAGATAGAAAGAAAAAAGAAAGAAAGTAGAACGAAAAAGAAAGAAAACGTGTTTTGCTTTTATTTTACCTACTGTTTAAATCTCCTGAAGGTGTGATATGGACATAAAAATGAAAAATTATCTTCGGGGTGCGAACTGAGAGTGAAAGTAAAAGGAAATCAGATGTAAACAATATGAGGAGTGAAAGAAAGAAAGAAAGAAAGAAAGAAAGAATTGGAAAAAAGAAAGAAATTACAAGAAAAAAAGAATGTATAACGAAAAAAGAAACAAAGTATAATAAATAAATAAATAAAGAAAGAAAGAAAGAAAGAAAGAAAGAAAGACAGTATAAGGAAAAAAAGAGAGAAAGTATAAGAGTATAAGGAAAAAAGAAAGAAAATACAAGGCAAAAACAAAAGAAGTATGACGAAAAAAGAAAGAAAGAAAGAAATTAACTAAGTAAATATAACGAAAAAAAAAGAAGGAAAACATGTTTTGCAACGACCAAGGCCTTAGTTGTGTTACAAGTATTTATTATATTTTGTTACAAACATAAAGTAAAGAAAAAAAGAAAGAATGTGTCACAAAGATAAGAAAGAAAGAAAAAAGTGAAAGAAAAATCAACAAAATCAAAAAAGAAAGAAAAAAGTAATAAATAACACAAACCAAAAGAAGAGAGAGAGAGTAAAGGATAGAAAAGAAAAAGTAAGAAAAGAAAAAAATGAAAAAAAGTGATAAAGAAAAAAGTGCAAATAAGAAAGAGTTTGAAAGCTGAGAAAGAAAAAGTAAGAAAAGAAATAAAGAATGAATTATCGGACACTGAAAAGAAAGAAAGAAAGATAAATATAACTGTAGAACCACATATCTAATAATCCTATATTATCAATAAAACTTTTCGTCCAGGGTATGACGATAAACTACATCTGGCAGCAAGGCTTCTGATTGGAAGATTGGAGATTTTGAGGAGCGTGAAACCACCTCTTAATGCATTTAACGATTTTAATATAGCATGTATTTTACATGATTTAATCCGATTTGGTAGAACCTGTTAGGATCCCAGCTATGGGCGAATAGTTATCCCCCAAACTAAAATCTACAGTACCTCTTCATAATAAAAAAAAACAACAATACATTTTATAGCAAAACGACAATCAATACAACACTAAAAAGCATAAAAATACATTTTTATAGTAAAATGACCCAAAATACATTTTATGATCTACAAAATATATATTTAAAACGCATACGTTTAACATGAAAGTATAAAATGTTGTACAAAATATTTGCATAAAATCACGTACATAATATTTAGATTTCGTCATTAAATAACCCATAGAGGTGTTGATATGCCGTCAAACAAAATCAAACAACCAACATGAAAGAACTCTTTCATGATATTAGTTCATATAATAGCCTGCAATTACTTAAAGGAATCAAACTATTCGAAAATATAACTTCGACAATACTACAGTATAAAATACATGTACCACCATCGCTAGTGATCATGTCCATACAAACATGTATCAGGTGACCCCATAAGTTCTGTCCGAATTTTGAATAAAGAAAACAAGTGACCAAATGTTACATTTAATTACAGATTCAATCAACAATGTATTCTCCCTGATTATCTATGACTTCCTTCCATCTATTAACAAGCTTACTAATTCCATTACTGTAAAATTCTTTTGGCTTTGATTCAAAGAACTCACAAATGTCAGTTTTAACCTCTTCCTGTGTTACAAAAGCTGTTTCTTCCAAATGATTCTGTAAGCTACGAAACAAATGGTAGTCTGAAGGAGCAAGATCGGGAGAATAAGGTGAATGAGGAATTTTCTCCCAACCAAGTTCTTCGATCTTTTGTGACGTGATTCTTGCTGTGTGGGGTCACGCATTGTCCTGATGAAACATCACCTCTTTTCGATTCACTAGAGCAGGTCTTTTTTTCCTCAAAGCTTGGTTCAAACGTTCTAATTGCTGAAAGTATGTTTGAGCATTAATTGTTGCATTAGGTGGTAAGAATTCAAAGTGGATTATTCCTTGGTGATCCCACCAGATTGAAAGAAGAACCTTTTGCCCATGAATTTCCCTTCTCAACTGTGGCTGGGGTCCTTCCCCTTTACCAAGCCACTTTCAACGACACTTAACATTTCGATAAAAGATCCATTATTCGTCGCCAGTCACAAGTCTATCCAAAAAAAGGTGAAACAAGTTGGCGAGAATTGAGAGAAGAGCAGATGTCAACTCGGGATTTGAGGTTGTTTTCACACGATTCATGAGGCACCCATTTTCCAAGTTTAGGAACTTTTCCAAGTTGTTGAAGATGGCGATGAACAGTTGTATGGTTTGAACTGAGAACCACTGCCAATTCCTCAACTGATAAAGCAGGATTTTCTTCAAGGGTTGCTTCAAGAAGCTTTTCATCAAACTCAACTGGACGTCCGGTTCGATCTTCATTTTCAAGGATGAAATCTCCACCTCTGAATTTTGAAAACCATCTTCTGCAAGTTCTTTCATTCACACATTCCTCTCCATTAACTGAGTGAATGTTTCTAGCCGCTTCGGCTGCTGAGTTTCCTTTCTTGAACTCAAATGTGCCTCAAATGATTCTTGGGTACTTCCATGTTAGCAGGGTTTTAATCAAACAAAATTTAATTTTATTGTTCTCTGAAATAAAATTTGATCAGTTTAAATGCATCTAAACATAAAAATAGTATTAAGCTCCATTAGACATTATAAAATACTCTTTAAATTTCGTTCATATTAACAAAAAGTTATAATTCGGACAGAACTTATCGGATGACCTGATACATGTATAAAAGCTGAGTATCATCTACCATGTATTCAATTGTGAAAGCAGAATAACATCTGCCATATTCTTATTACTCCAAAGCTACCCAGAAAATTTCGGCAAAAATGACCCATAAGGATGATGATATGCCGTTTAACAAACAAATCAATCAATAAAACTTGCATTATTTCCTGGTCACTGACATTTTTTCTTCATAATTTTCAATCCATTTCAATGAAAAATAAAAAATTATCAAACATTTTTATCCATATAAAAACATATAATCGATATAAAGACCATATAATTCATATAAAATTCTATCAGGAATATTTGATATGCTAACAATTGACAATTGTATTTCATTGATTTTCAAAGATTTCTATTGTAAACATAAACAATGCGTTTCTGTAATAAACCTATTTATGATGTATTATGAAGTAAAACATTTTGCATTCTGTTTTGGATTAAATACATAAACAACACATTTTTAATGCAAAATATTCTACAGTTTAACTCTGTAGCAAAACCATCTCCAATGCATTTAAAAGGGAAAACATTTATAATTAATTTTTATCGTAAAATCATTTACAGTGCACATCTATAATGAATAATTTACAACGTATTTTAAATGGAAAACAATAGCAATACACTTTATGCTAAAATCATTCAACATGCAAATCTATAGCAAAATTATTTGCCTACAGGATTTACAATTATATCATTTGCGCATATATATTTACAATGCATTTTATACTAAAAGTATTTACAATATGTTTTATAAAATTATTTACAATATATTTTATTCTAAAATCATTTACAAAGCATTTTATATTAAAATCATTTGCAATGCATTTTATATTAAAATCGTTTAAAATACATTTGTATTAAAAAAAAAATATACTGCATTTTATATTAAATTCCTTTACAATATATTTTATATTAAAATCATTTACAATTCATTTTATATTAAAATCATTTAAAATACATTTTAAATTAAAAATCATTTACAATGCATTTTATATTAAAATCGTTTAAAATACATTTTAAATTAAAATCATCTCCAATGTATTTTATATAAAAATCATTTAAAATATATTTTATATTAAAATCGTTTACAATGCATTTTATATTAAAATCATTTAAAATAATTTTAAATTGAATCATTTAAAATACATGCTATATTAAAATCGTTTACAATCCATTTTATATTAAAATCATTTAAATACATTTTAAATTAAAATCATTTAAAATACATTTTATATTAAAACCATTTTCAATGCAATTCTTTAATAGTATCATAAGCTAGGCTAACTCAAGTACAGTAGCAAACGGTCTGTCCTGAATTTGAAGAATTAACGCGACATAGTCTCATAAACATTATATGTAGCCCGATGTATCATTAAGTTCTATTTACTTTCTGACAATATATTTATGTAGTGACTATGATAGATAGATAGATAGATAGATAGATAGATAGATAGATAGATAGATAGATAGATATTGAACAGACTTAGATAGATATTGAGCAGACTTAGATAGATAGATAGATAGATAGATAGATAGATAGATAGATAGATAGATAGATAGATGTTAGCTCAAAAGGGAATTACGTTTGTTCATCTGTCGTGTTTCCTGTGAGTTAAACTAAAATCCGATACTGAGCAAACGAATGGGGCTTGATCCAGACTCTGGGGCGCTTCATGATATCGGTATCAAGCTGATCCGTCGATCAAGTATCAGCTTTGAAACCTTCACCTGATCAATCGAGATGTAAGACCAGCTGAAACCGATACAAAAGTGATCGATAAAAGGATTCTAAGGAGTACAGTTCCAATCAAATATGTTCACCTCATTGCAACCAAATGTCCGTCATGTATACGTGTTATTTATCTGACAATTAATCAAAATTCCAGAATGTTTTTGTTTTGCTTTAATTGACTCGTTTATTTACTCGCAAGTTTCATAAAAATATACTGAGACCGATCTGGAAGTGAGAAGCTGATAAAACAGGCAGAATAGGTCAAAGGTTGGAAACACGGATCAACCAACATGAACCAGACAATATTCACAAGGTTAAGATAAACAATTTACATGGGTGGGTAAATGTAACAGATTCAATTGATAAAAGCCAACAGTGTGTCCGGTTTTATAACTAAGCGGGGGGGGCGTTTTTTAGGGCCCCCTTTTGGCTTCTGCCATTTTTTCAGCATTGTTTTATGGCCATCCGCCATTTTTTTATATTTTATTTTAAATTGACGTTGCATTGTCAGTCATCAACTAATAATATGCATCGTACATTATTTACATTATTCGGACTATTGTCCTCATCTTTGTCGCCATATTTATCACAACGTTTCGGCCGTTGTACGCTCCGGCCTTCATCAGGTGGTTGGAATTTCGAACTGAACCCTTTATTTCGTTCACTGGGATAGACTGTTCTAGTGTCACGTTCCATGTTTGATGGATGTCAGTTATCAGTTATCTCCTGCTAATTTCCCTCTGAAAGTTCTTAACCGGGTATTGAACTCACACTCTTTGGGTCCTGTCACTGGATCTAACCAACGCTTTTATCCACTGTGCCATGTGTCCTTGAGGACATCTGGGTATGAATCTCAGAAATATAGACAGACTCCAATATGCATCGTGTTTCTGCATGGCCCGTGTAGTGCGTATTACGCGGGAAACCCCGACGCGGTTGGAGCCCCAAATGGACTAATTTCATCAGGGATTTTTTTTTTTTGGCTTTTGGCATTTTTTACTTTTTTCCAACTAATACTGTCAGTGATCAACTGTAGTAATCGACAGGGCCTGTGCTTACTACCCCAAATTTCTCAAAATCATAAAGGCCCCGAGCCTACTGGGAAGGGAGGCAGAAGTGCTAATTTCAGCAAAATTTAGCCATGAAAATATTGTTGGTTATGATATAAAGAATAACATTTTCTCAGATTATTTTAAAATAAAATTTTAAAAAAGTAAATAATTAATGAATATGTACTGAAATTTTCATTTACATTGGATAATTCCCTGAATTTTGGTAATTTAAAAAATGCCCTACCCGCCCCCAATTTTCCTTCTAGGGTTAGTAGCCTCCAGGTTGAGAAACTTTGAAATCGACATGCAGTAAAGAGTGGGGCCTGTATCAAAGTTTTGGTGGGAGATGGCGAGACCCTAGCGCCGGCCCTTCCAGACATGTTCTTAATGCTGAGCAGAGCTAATCCAAATTATCACTTGAAAGTTTGGCAATCAGTGTACATTAAGTCCCACCAGACACCTCCTTGTAAGCAGAAGGTGTCGTTAATGGGGTTAAAGGTAATTAGCCTTTAAGTGTTACATTTTCTTGCATATAATATTAACCTTTGGTATTATATTTTTTAATAGCTGTACACATTTTTTCCTAGATCTTTGCCCTGATGAGAGATCAACAAATCGGTTGTGGTATCTTTTAACCGTGGTTATTTGTTGGAATCATCATTTTACGGTAATATATCTTGTTCCGTTAACTCCTCTTTTTTGAAATGCATTGACTCATTTTTATTATGAATTGTCTTTTAACATGTTCGTTTTTATCGCACTAATAAAATGTTGTACTCCTGAAAAAATATTTTTATATTTGTATGAATATATACAGGGGTTGGACAAACTAATTGGAACAGTTGCAAAATCTACTCCTATATTTCAAAGACCTATTATATTAAGAACTTTAACTAAAACTCCGTAATTGCAGGTTATATCTATTGTAAATACGTTTACTTATCTAATTTACTGTCTTTGTCTTATTTATTTTTAGAATTTAGTAAAATTTAAGCTAAATGCATGACCTCTCCGAGTTCGAAAAAGAGCAAATTGCTGGAGCTCTCATGGCAGGAGCTCTCATGGCAGGAGCCTCGATCACTAAGGTTGCTGAACTGTTTGATTTTTTAAGATCTACCATATCAAGAACACTGATGCAATTCGAGAAACAGAGCAATACCTCTAGCAACCGTAGCAATTCGGGCCGGACTTGCAAACTTACGGACAGGGACTGACGTGCATTGAAACGCAATGTGGCAAAAAATCACCGGACAAATGCGGCCAAAGTGACTGCTAAGTTTAATAACCATCTGAATAGTTCAGTTTCTACTAAAACTGTTCACTGTGAACTCCATAAGGCTGCATATCATGGAAGAACCGCTGTGAGGAAACCTCTCCACTCGCAACATTCAAAAGAGGTTGAAGTGGTTGCAGAGATCACAATGCCTGGTCTGCAGACCAATGGAAGCAAGTCATATTCTCAAACAAGGACGAGTTTATGTGTGGAGGCAGCGCAAAGAAGCTTAATACCCTGACTGCCTTCTTCCAACAGTGATGCATGGAGGTGATAGTTTGGGCCGCCATATCATGGAAATGTCCCAATCCAATAGTTGCCCTGCATGGTAGAATCAACAGCAAAGATTACTTGAACATTTTGGGAGATCATGTTCATCCAATGGCCAAGACTTTATTCCCTGGCTGTGACTGCATCTATCAAGACGATAATGCTCCAATACATACCGCTCGAGTGGTTAAGAATTGGCATTAAGAGCATGAAAGTGAGCTAGAACACATGGAGTGGCCTCCCCAATCTCAAGATATCAATATTATTGAACATTTGTGGTGCATTTTGGAGCAACAAGTTAGGAGCCGATATCCTCCACCGTCGTGTCGTAAAGAGCTGCAGAATGTTTTAATGGAAGAATGACTGAAAATTCCTCTGGATGAAGTCAGGAAGCTGTATGATTCCATTCTAGACGTATTAAAGCTGTCTGTGAGGCTAAAGGAGGACCAACTCCATGTTAATATAAATTTTCTTTGAATTTAACAAGTTTTCCAATTATTTTGTCCAATCCCTATATATTAGTAACAATAATATACATTTCTTTTATAAATAGATATTTCTATTATTAATAGCGTCATATAATTTGATATACATATTTGAGTAGCAATTTCTTTTCTTTTTTTGATATTTACATGTCTGGAAAGTGTTTTAAACGTGGGAAAATGTGACAGACACCCAAAGGGAGAACGGGATAGAGAAAGATGCCTTTCAAATGTAAACAATGTATTAAGACTAATGCTAAAAAAAGGATATTTTGTTAGAAACAAAGAAAAGAGCATTGAAATCCTAAATGACTTGAGGCAATAGAAATATAGATCGATAGAAGGATGCTGAAAATATCATAGACAAAGAATTATTCACCCAAAAACGCTTTTAGCAATAAGAAATAATGTCGGAATAATATATATATATATATATATATATATATATATATATATATATATATATATATATATATATATATATATATATATTTGAGATGATTAGAGCTGATAGATTCTAATTTATTTGTTTTAACGCTATTTTTTTAAATGGATAGTCATATTTGAGTATAAGCCCGTTTTTATTTATTTATTAAACAGTATATCTATTTACATCTACGAGCCTGGACATTCGATAAATTTCGTTAGACAAATATGGAGGATGCATATCTTTCTAACAAGATTTCTCGTATGTTCAGGGTGGTAGATGTAAAAAAAAATAAATTTGCTGTTAAATAAATAAAACAGAGGACCTAATCAAATATGACGCTCCATCTAAAAAATAAAGTTTAAACAAATAAATTGTATATATATATATATATATATATATATATATATATATGTGTGTGTGTGTGTGTGTGTGTGTGTGTGTGTCTGTGTCTGTGTGTGTGCGTGTGTGTGTTTAGGCAGTAAATTCACTTTTAGGCATATCTAATTTACAAACATTATATCTGCTTATTTTTAGCATAATCCTTCCATATTAACGGATATTTTCCATTTTATTACAATCAAATAATGCAGGAGATGCACTATAACAGTGAAAATGGATAGTACTTTGGAAATAAAAGTGATTATCACTGTTACAGTGTACTTCTTGCGTCATTTGATCTTAATAAACAGAACAATATCCGTGAATATGAAAGGATTATGCTAAAAATAAGCAGACATATTGTTTGTATTTTATTTAATCAAATATGCCAAATATAAATTATCGATCTATCTATCTCTATCTCTCTCTCTCTATCTCTCTCTCTCTCATATATATATATATATATATATATATATATATATATATATATATAATATTAGTGGTAAATATACATACATATGCAAAATATATAAATACCCATACATGTATATTTTTTGAATAGAAATTCCAAGAGGAAGAATCCAGGTAGAACTCAATGTCCAGGACAGAGTAAGGATATAATAAAAATGCTTAAACACTAATATTCCATGGTCATAATTTTTCCATTGGAATCGTAAGTACGATCCAATTCATTAGACCTACAAATTCAAAAAGAAAACAGAAAAAACAAATCCGGAAATAAAAACAGAATTTAGAGAGAGTGTAAGTATGAGGAGGAGGGAGATTAAACCTTAAGAGAGAGAATTTTAGGAGAGGTGAGTGGAAGGGGTTTAAGTAAGAGAAAAATGAATGTAGTCGGATGTCTAATGCATAAAGATACATTTCGTGGTGACATACACACACCATAGACAATCTAATGTTAGAATAAGAGGGAGGGAAAGACGAGGTGGGGGAGAGAGATGGGGCGAAGGAAAGTAAAATTGCGTTTACTTAAAGGGCCGCTTTGTAATTGAGAAAATTTGACAAATTTAATATCGACTACAGGTTACAAATCAAATATAAACATATAAAAAATAAATATAACGATTATCTAATCCAGCAAGGACCTATATTCCTATGTTCAAAAACATATATATATATATATATATATATATATATATATATATATTGGCGCCTCTGCAAATTGTTGTCTTTGATCTTTGCTCTGCGAGGAGAACCGACAAATCAGTTCAGCTATCTTTTTTAACCGTTGCTATTTTATGTATTAACATTCTTGTGTTAATATATTCTGTTTCGTTACCTCCTCTCAGTTTTTTGTTA